GAGGGCCAAACTGGCCAATTAGTATTCCATATCATGCAGCGTCACGCCCAGTATAAAAGTGAGGGTCAGCCGGGAAGAAGGGCCTTCCGGGACTCTCACTTTCGGACTCTCGGGGTGTTCTCTCTCTTTCGCTGTCTCAGGGCCTCCCGTTCATCCGGGATCGCGGTATCGAGTTTTATCCGTTTTGGGATTGCAGCTTTGGAACGAGACGGGCCTCAGTCAAGGAGTGGTGAGCAACTACACCATACATCACTTGTTTGTATTATTTATCCTTGTACATATCTGTGTATATATATATATTGGTAGCGGTAGTAGTAAATTGTTCTTATCTCAACCCACGGGGCTCTTTTCTTTTTTTTTCTCTTTGATTCTCTCCCTCATCCCTGGGAGTGGGGGAGGGTGAGAGAGGGACTGTGTAGGGTTTAGTTCCCAGAGCGGCCTAACCCACGACAACTGCATAGAAGCAATTTTAAATCAGTGAGGCTTAGATAAACGGTTCTTTGTTTAGTTTTAACACAAGAAACACAGTGAACATGTAAATAATTAAAGTTCTAATGTTATAACAGAGAACTCTGACAGTTCTGCTTTCCGCAATTTTAAAAATTCAAATCACTACATTCCTAAAGTGCTAACACTGCATTTCCAGTGCTTTCACAGCATTCGGTAAGACTGCTTAGATTTTTGCAAAGTAGTTCTAAAAAGATCAATTAAAAATTATAAATCTATTGATAGCCACTATGTAAAAACAAGCAGGCTAAAATACCGCGTTCTGCACTTTCTTCTAACATCTTACCTGCAGCCATCCGGCTACAATTGGATATGGCTATTACGTGCATCTGGACATTCAGAGACTGTTTACCTCTGTGCATAATCTTACAGCTAACTAGGTTTCCACAGGAGAAAACAGCAAGTGACAGAGTAAAGAAGAGTTATACTTCAAATTTAGTGTAAAATAAAGCCCTTTAACTTCTCCAAGTCAAGACCAGCAAATTGCTCATGAAGCAAACAGCAGTTTGGAGTAACATCACAGGGTAAGTATATAGAATACCCACTGTCCATACAAAGTTTAATTAAGAACTATCAAATTTATGATCTAGATGTTTAATATTAAAATTATTTCTGCCTCATCAACTGTAACCTTACAGATGTCCAGAAATTTTCTACAATAGAAATAAACAGATGGTTATAACTAAGATTGGCTGAATTACTTGCCAACACTCCAATGGTTACAATACAAAACATACACTGGGTGCTTACAATGTCGTCAAGCTTACCAACATACAGCCATCGAAAAAATGCTTTGAAGTTTTTCATACTACTGTCGATAACTCTGAGCAAGAAACAAGAAAAGAAATTACCAGATATAAACGTCACAAGCTGCTCGAGGCTTAAATCCCATGTTTACTACAGAAAGGCCTGCAAGCACTATCAATTTTCTAAAAAATGCCCAGTGCAACCTTCCAAGTAAGGCTGTTCTCAGGGTATGAGTCTATGAGATGCAGTGAGACAAGATAAAAGCTCACCACCAAACAGAGGAGCCTTGCTCTCCCAACTTCTATACTCAGCCACATGCTTCCCCTTACGTACAAGACTCAATAGGCATGGTTTTTAAATTCAGCAGACTTTCTACTTACTGAAGCAGCTCATTTGCTTTCAGGATGAAAGAACCAACAGCAGTAATAGCCTCTGCAAAAAGAGCGAACCATTATTATTAAGCTTCCGAAAGTGAAATCAGAGTGGGTAAATAGCACACACAATACTGTACCTTCAATTCCAGATGCATCTAATCCCAGAGACTCATATTTTTGTTTCCACAAAGCCATTCCTTTCAATTCACTCAAGTGGTATAACAGTGCCTCGGACCCACTAGGAAGGCAGAGCAAAATAGTACAATCTTTTAGTCATCCTTTGGAAATTCACTGCTTCACTGCATGCTACATTTTTATCACTTAATGTGCAAAGTGGAGTGCTTGATAAGGTGGTCTGGCATGTAAGTTAAAGTACCAATTCACAAAAAAGCAAATATTGTCCTAGTGATTTTAACCACCAAAGGTGGTGTGAATTATTTTGCGTGTAGCCTATAAACACACCAGGCAGTGATATACAGGTGATGTGCCATGGAGATCATTCGAAATACTTCAACAGTTCTCCACTACCCAAAAGTAAATTAGTACATTTTGTCATGATCACGGTCTCCATGCCAGCACACCTACATACAAAAGAGCCAGTGATACAGCATACTGCCTTTTAGCAAAGCAGATAATATGTCATCTTATCTATAATTCAATATACGTTCTGCGACTTACCTCTGCAAATGACTTATGACCAACTTTTGGATACTAGAATAGGATGACTCTATGGACTGACCAAGTTTTTTTAAACCCTGTTAAAAAAAGAAATACAAACATATAATGATGTTATGTTAACAGAACAGTGATTAAAAGATACTGAAATAGATTACTTTAGTATGTTAAAAAACATTAACATACCTTTACCGTCAATTGGTTCATTAGTAATGCCTGAAGCTCCAGACTAAAGGGGGTTGGGAAGAGAACCAAATATGTGTTCATTTTGTATTTCCATATCAAATGCAAACGCATACTCAGATAAAACAACAGTAACTACCTTGCTTTGCCCCATAACAACAGCTGCATAAACTCATCCTGAACAGAAGTGGTTGTATTCTTTTCCTGTCAGTCAAAATGATTGAAATACATTGGTAAAGACATTAAATCCAGGCTACCAAACAATCTCACAAACACTTCAACCAAACTATATCAGAAGCTCCACTCATATCCTTGAATGCTGAAATCAGACTAATGATCACTGGAAATTTTCTAGGATTTTAAGTTATTTTCAGTTGTATTGCCCAGTAAAAATTCTGACCAGTTTCGCCATCACCAAGAATTTATTTAGAAGAATAAATAAATTATTTTATTCAATTAACTTCTAGCCATCACCAATGAACACAAAATCTAAGCAAATCCAAGAGCATCTTAGTCATGGCTGTCACACATGCTCCATTGAACTAGGCTGTAAGTGCTGGCGGGCTGTTACTCAACATTTACAGTATTCAGTTGGTCCATGACTGAAGTACAAAGAGCAGAATCTTAAATAACAAAGTAACTGACCAACAGTTGCGCAAGCCAAAAACTATCACTGTTGAATAACTTTGAATAAATAAAATAAAGAAGTATCACAATACTTCAAGCACAATCGTACTTGATTGTACTCGTATCCTCAGCAACAGAGCACTTGGCACACAGTAGGTTCCAGGTTGCCTCTGAACTTAAGAGATTGTTACCTGGAGGCAGTATGCTTAAACGACGTTAAGATACGCAGTATGTTAACATGACCAACAGAGAACTTCAGCAAAAAATGTTTTCCCAAAAGAATGGTTAATACTACAGTACCTGTACGAACTTAGTTAGCCGTGAGTCCATCTGCATCAGTATCTCTTCCCACGCTTCACACATGCATGTCAATGACAACTTTATATACTGTAATACAGATACAGACATGAGTGTTTTTCCCTTTTTCCCCTCCTTCAAAACACATGCAAGAACTGGATGTTACAATATAGAGGGAAGATATACTGTAGATATCATATAAAATTTACTACGAAATTCCAAGCTAGAGGAATTTAAATCTACATTTACTTAAAAGCAACTTAAACTTTTTACTAGAAAACATTTATTTCACTTGCGTTAAGAATATTGAAGCCTGTGAGAACTGTGATATTAAAAAGTTGTTATAACACAACTGTACCTGTAGCAGAGTCGAAATGTGAGTAAATTTCCGGGCCATTCGAGTTACCTCAGGTAAGTAACTCGATAATAGACTAGTGTCCAGCTATAACAAATGAAAAAAGCAGCAGTTAATGTTATAAATCCAAAAGCTAAATCAGGGTGAATCTCAAAAAGGCTAGAAACAGTGAATTGTGTTTTTTCTGGAAATAATGGCGAAGCAATAAAGCTACCAGAAAAGTAATGTAAAAAGCATTTTCACTTTTAAAGAACATATTTTAAAATTACTTTACTTGCCTGAAAATATGTTATCTCTGCTTCGCTGTCTGAAGAGTCTTGTACCTCTGTAATAACCGATAGCGACTTCAAATCGCTAGATAAACATAATCCACGACAAGAACCTGCCACCTGAAGGATTTCAGTTTACAAGTTAATGAAATATTCGATTTCTGCTAAGGTGTATTTACTGCTCTAAGACACTGACATACAAAGAAGGCTGTGTTCAATGACATGTAAAAACAAAGTGGAATTTTTGGGTACTGCTCAGGAACAAAAGCACTCTTTTTACTGCAGAGTAGGGTTGAACTATGTTACATTTGAAACAAGATGTTGACATTGCCAGAGTTAGAATGTCTTTCCAACAATAACCATACAACCCAATCAAGAGAAACAACTATTTCTTTCTTTAAATTTCAAAGCCTCAGTTTCACTTATGTGTAAGTATACATATGTAATTTTTCATTCAATTCAGCTGTAGCCTAGTATATTATGAAGAAAAAACATGGAAAGGAAGGGAACATACCCCAGTTACTGTAGCAATCTTGAACATTCCATAAGCATAAATCTCAATAAACCCTGAGCTGCCACCAAGGACAAGAGCATTAAGCCTATAAAAATAGAAGAAGATGTGTTGATGAGCATACTGAAACAAATTCTAATGCCTACAAATGTAATTCTTAATACTTAAATTCCGTCCCTTTACTAACGATCCTCTAAAGAATCACTGAACGAAAAGAAATGCTGTGCTACTGTCTACAAGAAATTTAAAAAACACACAAAAAATTTATTAGCTTGGATTTCATTGATAGAACTTGCCTCTAACAGTTACAGAAAGAGCATCCATTACCAAATTAATTGACAGAATAGGGAAAAAAAAACCCCACACCACAATTTAGGCACAGAAGACCACCTTCACTAACTTTATATCTTCTAGAAACAAAAAGTTCTAACAACAGTCCAAAAGCACTTCACAAAGCCAGCCTCAGTCTGCTAAACTACACTTCCTCCAGCTGCTTCTCATGTGTTTCCTAGTAAGAGATATTTACTTTATTTTAAAGTAACCCTAATACAGCTGATTTCAGAGCTAATTTTAAGTTTAGCTTTGTCACACTCACGCAAACCCACAGAAATTGCCTGTCTATAATAAGCATTCACAAATGTCTCTAAAACCAGCTTAAGTAACACATAAAACATAGCTCTCAAACACACCCCAATCAATCTTCTGCTGAGGAAAAGATATGACACCAACAGCAGGTGCTGATAAAGTGCCTTATAATCCCTCTAAATTGAGAAGAAAAGGTGTAAATTGATAGAGACTTTTTTTTGGTTTAGTATTTTTTTTGAACTCTATCTTTGTACACGAAAAAAAGTGACATTCCATATTCCTTTCTCCAGGACCCTTAACAACAGAATAACATGAATAAGTTAAAAGTAAAACCACTTATCCATTATTTTATGGCTTTTAGAAAAAAAAAAACAAACCACCAACCAAAAAACCCACAATAACCCACATACAGGATTTACCTTACATCACCTAGAAGCTTCATAATCTCATCTGACTTTTCTTCACTGAAAATATAAAACGCACGATTGGGGTTTATGTACATTGTCTCAATAACAGAAAACAAAATAAAACAAAAAAATAGAGAGATATAACAATTTCTTACCTGAAAATTTTTGCGGTGGTACTGTAACTGAAAACAAAATAATTATTCTCAATAACAATGAGCAGATATCTAATCCAAAGCATCTGTAGAGCATTAAAGATGAATAACCAAAACAATGACAACAAATGAGAAATCCTATCTTCTCAAGCTTAACAGTATAATGCTTACTTTTTTGGTAGCGCTGGTAATTTAGGCAAAAGGAGATTTGATTCATCCTCAGCATTGTAAAATGAAGTGAGAACACTGAAAAAGAAGTAATGCTGTCTTTACTACTCAAGCATTCAAGAGGGAAGATAATCTCTTTCTAACTTCAAAGTTGAAGCATATACTCAATATGTCATGTATATTAGAGCGTTACAAATATCAGAAGGTAAATCCTTATGAGGACTTTAATAATTTATCAAATTAATAAAAGAAGTCTAAAACCTCTTTATTTCCACCAAAGGAGAATATAAACTTTGTATCTGCTGGCTTAGTAGCTTGCTTCCAAGTCCCTCATCACCTGTACTGCAGTTACTGACCGAGGCTTTCTGTTTAAACTTTGCACAACCTCGCAGTATAACCTACCTACATGTCAAAAAAGCTTCACTCTAAAGAGGCTTTACGGTAAGAGGCAGACTATAAACTACAGTACTTAATATCACACCGTAGACATGCCAGAAAGATGACATTCCCCATAAGGAGATAAGTCTATCCCCATCAAGAGAAGAATTCTAGTCATTTAAGACGCAGTTATTTTCTTGCTATTTTAAGACCAGTGTTTTCTGGAGGTGGGAGGGAAATCCCCAAGTAAGGCTTATGGTACCTCCTTTTTTAAATAAATGGGGTTTTTTTAATTATTGTCTTGCGCTGCAATAAGGTGCATGTCAGAGGTTTTTGTAAGATCACAGAAACAGGGACCACGATATCCTCCAGCTCACAAGTGCTGCTGAGAATTGTCTAATGCCACAGAGCTCATGGTCACCAGAGGCAATCTGACTTTGTGAAGCAAGTACACCCACCACGGAATTGCCACTGGGGTTGGATGTAACACTAAAGGCACACCATGAAAAATGTAAGCACTGAACTAAAGATTTAATTACTTGTTCTGACTAACAAAACAGATGAACATAATAACATTATTATAATTAGCTTAATAAATTAATTGCTATTGAAGTAAACTGGATCAGAAGACAGGTTGTATAAGCTAACACTAGATTAAGCAGCTCTTAAGAGCTGAGCACTCAAGATCATGCTGAAATTTCTGCATAACCTAAAAAAACAGAAGTCTAAGATATCAGCATTAAAAATAAGCGTGCGAAATGTGTCTATTCTAATCAAAAGGAAAATTTTACCGAAGTGATAACAAAAAGCCATAGCTACATAATATTATTTTATATGACTGCTCGTAACATACTAAGTATGAATTTTAAGTAAGGTGACACTACATAGCCCATAGTTACTTCTAGAGCTTTTCAGACTCACCTGCTTTCCTCAGTTACTTCCATCCAATGCATGTAAGTAATAGACAAGTCGACGGAGAAGGAGTGCAAGCTTTCAGGTTTCTCTACATCACACAGAATAATCCGCTTGGTATCAGTAAGGCCAAAAGCCAAAACTAGAGAAAGATGAGTAGAATGTATAAATAACCAACGTGCAAAACTTTGTACTTTTACACTAAATTAGAAAATAATGTGTCTTCAAAGCCAATGGCTGGACAGAATTTTCTCTTCCATCTATTTATAGTCCTTCTAAATTCTCACCACTGGACAGAATTTTCTTTTCCATCTATTTATAGTCCTTCTAAATTCTCATTTGAAATCTACTTATTAGAATGAAGGTTTGAACTCCTATCATATTTTAGGTGATAAATTTACGTCAAAGGCCTGATTTCACAATTATTTATCTACATGTTGTACTGAATACGCTTGTAACATTTCTAACAGAAGTTGTGATAAAGCAGAGGCTTCAGTTTTTGCGAATTTGAGGCCAAAATTATATATAAAGACTGTCCACCAGAAAGATTTGAGTTTTATTACAACAAAATACAATTTAAGACTTACTGAGCAACTTTTGCATCACCTTCTTCTTAACTTTATTCATCCATAAAAGCATACGGCAGGTACAGGTTTCTGTGCTTACTAACTTGTAATCACAGGCAATCAGCTTAAAAAGAAGTTTCTTAAACTCCTCAGACTTCATCATAAAACAATATAGGTAGTTTTGACTCACATCATGAAAGAAGACTGTTCCCATTCTCTCACCTCTAATGAGTCAAAAAATTGAGTAATTTCCAGTCTAGGTTTATTAAGCTACTAATTTCAACATTGTTTCTGTTGATAAGGAAAAGGGTTTTTTTTTCTTCTCTGGTGTACTGTTAGAGCAATTTTAGCCTCTATAGTTCTGCTTATGCTAAATAACCTAAGCTCTTCAGCCAAACCTCATCAAACAGCCTCTTCCTCTCCCAATAAATTTTACAGCTCACACAAAAATATTCTGCTTAGTTTTGCTATACTTTGAAAAGCAGTGTTTTGGACATAAATGATAAATGAAGATGATAAGAGGGCTGGAGCACCTTTCCTATGAGGACAGGCTGAAAGAGTTGGGGCTGTTCAGCCTGGAGAAGAGGAGGCTCCGGGGTGACCTTATAGCGGTCTTCCAGTACCTCAAGGGGGCCTACAAGAAAGATGGGGAGAGGCTGTTCAGGAGCACCAGTTGTGATAGGACAAGGGGTAATGGTTTTAAAATAGAGGGAGGTAGATTCAGGTTGGATATTAGGAAAAAATTTTTTACCATGAGAGTTATAGAACACTGGAACAGGTTGCCCAGAGAGGTGGTGGATGCTCCATCCCTGGAGACGTTCAAGGCCAGGTTGGATGAGGCCCTGAGCAACCTGATGTAGTTGGAGATATCCCTGTTCCTTGCAGGGGGGGTTGGACTAGATGACCTTTGAAAGTCCCTTCCAGCCCTAACGATTCTATGATTCTAAATCCACCTTGCAAATCTTTCTTGCAACTGCTTTCATCAGTGTAAATCTCTCTGTTACTTTGAAAAAATCTACATAAAATTAAGCCACCCTTCTCTTCAGACACAGTTTACTTTAAAATTTCCTTCACAGATAAGAGGTATCACCACAACTTTCTCTGTTTTCCAATGGGATTTTTATTACACCATATCACCTCATATACTTGACATTACTTTTGCCATCTGGTCTCCAAGCAAGAGCAGTCACTTCTTTTCCTGTATTTTCATTTGGAGGTAAACTCCACACTCGTTGAAAGTTCGCAAGGCGATGAAGTAAAACCTACAAAGCAAACACATTGAAGTGAAAAATAAACCACGTCCTCCCATTCATACCAGTTTGTAAATCAGTTCAAGATGTGCTTTTTAAACCATTCTTTAAGAACTCCTGTGTCTTAAATATCGCCTGCTCCTCTAGTAGGTTACTCACTCCTATGTCATTCTAGAGGATGATATACTGTTTACAATGCAGCAATGCAGAGAAATAAGCTGTGCCGTGCAGAAGCCTGGAAGCAGCAGGGGTTACCTATGCTTCTCCAGCAAAGGGGGCCTGAAAGCACAACAGTCTCTTCACACATGATCGCACACAGTGGTTCCAGAAAAAAAAAATAATACCTGAAAATAGATTTAATAGAAAATTTCATGTGCTTTAAACCCCCCCAGACGCAGGCACTGAGAGAATCATCAGCTAACTTGTTTGGAAATTAGAAAGTGAAAAGGGAAGGGTCAATAAGTATTGAGAAGCTCGACAAAAAAAATTTGCTCTTCCTAAACGCTTGACTCGGCTCCCAAGGACCGCACCACGGGTAACAGCAAAGGCGTCTCGGCGGCTGCACGGAACGGGCAGCGTTTTCCTGCCAGAAGCAGCGGCTCTTCCCTCCCGGAGCCCAGCCCGCCGACGCGGCCCCCCGCCCGGGCCGGCAGCCCCCGCACTCACCTCGCCCGCCCTGTTGGCCAGGGCGATGAGGTCCCGTTTGGGGGACCAGGCCATGAAGACGACCTCCTGGGGCAGCTGCTTCTCCCCAACCTGCCGGAAGGCGGGCAT